ATATATGGCTTTATCACTTACTTTCTTAATGCAGGAAATAATAGGCACATACTTCCTGAGGGAGAATCATGATACGTCTCTTTGGAATAAGCTCTACTAGGTTAAAACATGACATTAAAAACATACCTTATTCAATTTTATTTGCTAATATTCATTTAGAATTTCAATACCCAGGATGAATGATCTACAGTTTTTTGTTTAGTGCTCTTTGGTATCAGAAAAATACTTTACTTGCAGAATCAGCTAAAAATATTCCCATATTTTCTTTGCTCTGGAATTGTGTATATGGTGAGTTCACTTTTAAAAATCACAATTAAAAAATTAATTTAAAATGTTTAAATCACTATCATTAAATATTTTTCTTAATAGGCATTGGTTGTAAAAAAAAAAAAAAAAGACTAAACACCAGTTGATACTTCCAAATTCTAGTACCAACCTTGTAACCAACACATTTGTATCCATTCTCAGGGGATGTTGAAATAAATAATTTTATATAAATAAGTGCTCTTCTTGCCTTGTTTTTAGAAATAAGTCTATGTCACCTGTAAAGAGTGCTGGGACATAGTTCACCACACTGTTTTCCTGCATTAAGAACAAACCTTCACAGGTAAGTGGCAACTAAGTTCTGCATCAATTGTTTCAGACTCACCAGACTCATCAGTTTTATCTAGAAGGCATAATTAAAAGCTATTTAAATTAAGGTCCTAGCACCAACATAAAGCTATGTATTCTTGTCTTAAATCCAAACCACCACATGTGTGTCCTCTGGAGAGACAGAAGACACAAAAATTAAATATGAAGAGACGCAGTGACTGCAGGTAACGTCTTCCATACAATTAAAAAAAAAAATCTAAGCTATTCATATTAAGGTATTTAGACCTTAATATCTTTTAAAAMCCTTTTGAAAATAAAAATATCAAAACAAATACAAAGACACAAAAACGTCTGAATAATTTTCAGCGCCACAAATTATGCTGGAAGCCTACTGATGATACATTTTGTTGAGATTTTCACTCACAACCAGCCTGCAAGGATTCACTGATAACTAMCACCCAGCAAAAGGTTCCTTCTCTAGAGTTGCAAAAAAAAGTAAAAATGGAGACAAGGCCAAGTGCATCTGGGGACTTGGCCCCGACAGTAGTGCTGAAGGGACATTAAGTTCCAGACTTCCCTGAATCTGTGATTCAAGTTCCATTTCCTGAGCAAGCAGTTTCCTTTTGTAGCACCTCTAAATTATACTTATCATTCAATGATGAGAAAGCTCCCAGACACAAAGGTCTCGGTTCAGACCTACTGGTATTAAAATAATGTTGATAACTCTTAATTCTGCTGGGTTGGAGACTAGAAAGGAAGTAATGCCTCAGGGACAAGTCACAGAACACAACAGTCCCTTCGGTGGGGACAGCGTGCACTGCCCTGCAGCTCTGAAGTGCATCTGCTTCTGAGAACTGTCAATTCTGGCACATAAAGAACTTTGTAGTTTTGTAAAACATGGRCACATTTTTTTCTTTTTTTGGTATCAAGGATTGAACTTAGGGGCACACAACCACTAAGCCACAACCCCAGCCCTATTTTGTATTTTATTTAGAGACAGGGTCTCACTGAGTTGTTTAGCGCCTCAGTTTTGCTGAGGCTGGCTTTGACTTGATCCTCCTGCGCCACTGGAATTACAGGGCCTAGCTAACATAGGCACATTTAATTCTAAGATTCTCATTTCTGTTGTTGTTGGTACTGGGGATTGAACCTGGGAGTACTTAACTACTGAACCACATCCCTAGCCCTTTTTTAAATTTTTTATTTTGAGACAGGGTCTCGCTGASTTGCTTAAGGCCTTGCTAAGTTGCTGAGGCTGGCCTTGAACTTGCGATCCTCTTGCCTCAGCCTCCAAAGCTGCTGAGATTACAGGTGTGCGCCACTATACCCAGTTTTTAAGATGTTTTAAGCAAAATGTCTATTAGACTTAGGCAGAATTCATGAGATATTAGTAATAAATGAAATACTTAATGAGTGTGTATGTGTTACAGAGAAGGATAAAAGGTGAAAAAACCCTAATATCCAGGAGGTCCCAAATAGCACTAGACATTAAAACAAATATACAAAGACTCTAAATACAGTGCTAAATGTGCTTGTGTATCAGAACTTAATTTCACAAGGTCTTATTTGATCACCCATCAGTGACACCCAGCCTGGCACCAAATATCCTCAAGAAACACCTCTAAGAGTCACAGCTGCCCACTAGTTTAATGAGTCTTGGACAGGTGCAATCTTCCCGTGGGTCTCCCCTGCGCTGTGTGCCACTGGAAGCTTCTCTCCCATCTCAGCTCTGGTCTTCCCAGCCACCATCAGAMGGAAAGGCTCAGGCAGAGCAGGGCACTGCACATTGCCACCCCTGGACTCAGGGCACAYGGGGCTTCCACCCTGCCTGCACTCTCTCCTGAAAGTGCCATTGTTGTCCCTTTCCCCTGTTTCTTGCTGTGTATTCCACATTGACTTAGTAAACGGTGTGGTTCAAGCCCACTTTAATTTGGCCCAGGAGTCTTACTGTTCTGAGAGCTCTGGTGCCTGCAGGCTACCAGGGCAGATGGGGAGACACTGACCGGCAATGACTGCCAACTATTATGGGTGGAACTGTGTTGCCCCCAAATTTACAGTTAGAATCCAAATCCCAGAAGCTCAGAATGTGATCTCATTGGGAAATAAGATTGTGATCAGGTAAGTTCTGAGGAGGTCCTACTGGAGTCGGGTGGGCCTGGATTCAACCTGTGTAAGAGGGGAAATTTAGACACAGCTTTGGCACATACACAGAGAGAGCCATGGGGAGCAGATGAAGGCAGAGRTCAAGGTGACGCTTCCACACACCAAGGACTGGTAAGGACTGCCAGAGAACCACCAAAATCTTGAGAGAAATGGGACAGTTCTACCTTGCAGCCCTGGGAGGGACCGACCCTGCTGACTCCTTGGCTTTGGACCCTAAGCCCAGGACTGTGATAATAACATAACCGTTGTTTGAGACATACAGTTTGAGGGACTTTGTTACAGCTGCCCTAGAAAACAAATACACCAGCACTCAAATCCTAAACCTCAATGTGATGGTGAATGAAACCCAGGAAGTGGGACCTCACTTCCCACTTTTAGTACCTTAATCTTGTACTTCTGGCCTCCAGGATTGTGAGAAATAATTGCTTATTGTTCAAGCCACCAGGTCTATGGTATTATGTTATAGCAGCCAAACTGATTCAGACAAACCTATGTGTAATTTATTAGCAAGCAAAAGCAGTGGGGTGTATGAGAAAGAGCACTGGATTAAGAGAGCCTAAATTCAGAGGCTTTCTTAATCCTACAATAAGAAGGTACACCTGCACATACTTGGACAGACAGGATGAACACATGTGAACAATTACAAAGTCTAATCAGGAGAAAAACAGGGTGACATGATTACAGGAAGGGAAATCTTCAGCAATAGAAAAGAAATACTTTTATAAACACAGTATCCATTTGAATTTCCACAGAGTATACAGAATTTGATCAACTGATAGTTAATATGTACGAGAGAATAATGGCTAAAATAAATACACACTTAAAGGCAATGATGGTATACTTATTCTTTTTAAGGCATACAATTACAATTACGAAAGCTATGTAATCCTTTAAAACAGAAGAAATTAGAGTGCAAGAACATTTCAAAACCATATTTCATCTAATTTAAGAATTTAACTCAATAACAGGAAGAGAAATACCCTTGAATCAGAAATGTATTCCCGAATTATAGAAGGGATCAGGAATAAATCACACTCATGGTTCAGGCAAGCCAAGAGATGAGAATAGAATAAGATCATTTTTAAAACATCAGTTTACAATCTAAAAAATAAGAATAATCTAGGCAACCCAGTTTGGGAAGGATGATAAGTTTCATTTCTGAAGAAATGAAGTATATTACTATTATAATAATACCAGTACATTAAAAATTTCCACAATTAAATATAATAATAATTCTCAAAATGAAAGTAACATGATGGAAATACAATAAATATTACTCTTGATTTAATTACACATTTAGAACTTGGGCAAATATATAAGAAATATTTCTGACTCAAAAGTCATCAAATTTGTTTGACTGAATCAATAGTTTATATCCAAAGGAAAAAGATCATATATATATGGAGAAGCACAAAGTATTTTCCAAAGTGGCCATACTCCTTACATTATAGTTCTAATTTGAATGATGGTTCCAATTTCTCTTGCAATTGGCTGTCTCCTTTTCTAAAAAAATTAATTWATTTATTTATTCTAATTAGGTATATATGACAGCACAATGCATCTTGATTYATTGCACACAAATGGAGCACAAYTTTTCATTTCTCTAGTTGTACACGATGGGGCGGTCATACATGTACCTAGGTTAATGATGTCCATCTCATTCCACCACCTTTCCTGCCCCCATTCCCCCTTGGCCGTCTCCTTTTTTATCATAGCTGGCCTGATGGGTGGGAAATAATAACTCACAGTTTGAGTTGCATTTTTAAATGACTTTTGATGCCCAGTATCATTTCATGTGTTTATCAGCCATTTGCAGATTTTCTTTAGCCAAATGTCTCTTCAAATCCTTTATCCAATTTTAAATTGGGTTATTTGTCTTTTTATAATCACTGACTTGTAACCACTGCTTACATATTCTGGATTCAAGTTATTTATCAGATATATAACCTTTAAATATTTTCTCCCATTCTGAGTTGTCTTTTTACCCTCTTGCTAGTACTGTTTGTAGCACAAGTAGTGCATTTAAAAAAWTTTTTTTAGATGTTAATGGGCTTTTACCTTTTTCATTTATTTATATGTAGTGCTAAGAATCAAACCCAGTGCCTCACACATGCTAGGGAAGCTCTCTACCACTGAGCCACAACCCCATCCAATGAGAAGTGCATTTTTGATGAAGCAAACTACCTTTTTTTCCCCTTGTGGTCTCTCTGCTTTTGACCTCATGTGTAAAAAACTATTGCTTCATGCTCACTTCCACAGCACATACACGAAAGTTGGAATGATACAGAAAAKATTAGCACAGCCCCTGTACAAGGAAGACATGCAACTTTATATGTTCCATATTTTTAGAATTAAGGTCAGCATATTAAAAGAAATACATGCATCCACATGTTTACAGCAGCACAATTCACAATAGTCAAGTCATGGTACCAGCCCAGGTGCCCATAAACAGATGAATGATTAAAGAAAATGTGGCATATATGCACAATGGAGCTTTATTCAGCCATAAAGATGTATTAAAATTATGTCATTTGAAGGCAAATGGATGAATCATGGTAAGAGAAAATAAGCCAAACTCAGAAAGTCAAGGGTTGTGTGTGTCTCCCACATACATGGAAGCCAGAGAGAAATAATGGGAAAAGAAGCGGAGCTTGGGGATCCTCATGAAGATAGCAGACAGACCAGTAGGGTAAGGAAAGGGGTTTAGGGCTGGGGTTGTGGCTCAGTGGTAGAGTGGTTGCCTAGCATGCACGAGGCACTGGGTTCGATCCTCAGCACCACATAAATGTAAAATAAAGATATTGTGTCCACCTAAAACTAAAAAAAAAATAAATAAAACATTTTAAAAAAATAAAACATTTTTTTAAAAAAGAAAGGGGTTTAGCTGGAGGGAGGAGGAAAGAGCAAGAGGAGGTACTCGGGATTGAAATGAATCAAATCGCTACTATGTATGCATGAATATGCCACAATGAACCCCACTATTCTGTGAGTATCAATTAAAAAAAAAAGAATCTGTTTCCTAAACCAAGAGTTAGCTTTAGATTGTATGCTTAGGTCTGTGATCCATTTTGAGTTAATTTTTGTGTATGATGAGATAAAGGTCCAATTACATTCTTTTGCACGTGAATCTGTAGTTGTTCCAACACCACTAAGACTATTTTTGCCCATTGATTTGTCCTGGCGCCCTTGTCAAGTCAATTGACCATAAATACAAGGTTCCTTTCTTGACCCTCATTGATCTACATGTTTATTCTTAAGCCAATGCCACCCTGTCTTGATTACTTTGCAGTAAGTTTTGAGATGAAGAAGTACGAGTCTTCCAACTTTGTTTTTTTTTTTCAAGACTGGTTTGGTTGTTCTGGGTCCCTTGAGATTAGCATTAGTTTGTCAGTTTCAGAAAAAAAGCAAATTGTAATCCCCCCCACCCCCCCGCCCAGTGCTGAGAATTGAGCTGAGGGTCTTGTGCATACCAAGAAAGCAAGCTCCCTACACTGAGCTAAACCTCCCACCTCATGCTGCAATTTTGACAGGGTCATTCTTGGGATTTTGTATAAGATCCTTAACTCAATGGGGGAGTGAGTAATGCCATCTATTCCAGTTTAKATCTGATGTCCCTCAAAAGTTCAYGTGAGATAATGCAAGAAGGTTTAGAGGAGAAATGATTAGGTTATAGCCTTAGCCTAATCAGTGAATTAATACCTGATGGGATTGACTGAGAGGTAACTGGAGGCAGGTACGGTGTGGCTAGAGGAAAGTGGTTCATTGGGGGCCATGGCTATGGGGTATATATTTTGTATCTGGAGAGTGGACTCTCTCTCTTTGCTTCCTGATAATCAGATAAGCCACTTCTCTCTGCCACATTCTTCCACCATGATACCTTGCCTCATCTCGAGCTCCAGGGAATGAAGCTGGTCTTTATGGACTAAGACCTCTGAAACTGTGAACCCTCAAAAAAACTCTTCCTCTCCTACAGTTGTTCTGGTCTGTCCCTTTAGTCACAGCAGCAAATAAGCTGTTGAGAGCMACAGCCGAAGGGGCCCCAGCAAACTTCCAGCTGCCAGCAAACTTCCAGCTGCCAGCTGATGATTGGCTCACAGTGGCCCCAGCAAACTTCTACTGCCAACTGATTGGCTTCTCTACGGTGATGCTCATTGGGTTGTTTCCCCGCCCTTTCAGACCACAGAGCTGCTCACTGGGGGACTTTTTTGGCTCCAATCGGCCTCAAGAGCAGGAGGAGTGGGGGAGGTTGAGAGGCTTGTGGGAAGCCGGTGGTGGCAGCTGGGCTCACACAACCTATGGTCCTCAAGCACCCTTCACTGTAAGCATGGTCGAATCCATTAACAACTTGAACATAACACCAGCAGATTGGGCTATGCTTTCTTTAAATTTAGATTCTYGCCCCATGCTAAAACTAAATATTCAAGGACATGAATTTAATGGGCTACTGGATACAGGTGCAGACCTTAGCATCATCTCTCRTCAAGAATGGCCAAAACATTGGCCATTACAACAAGCCACTCAAACGCTTCGAGGCCTAGGAGTGGCGACTAATCCCCATAGAAGTGCAATGGTATTAGATTGGAAGGATCCTGAAGGATGTGAAGGAACTATACAGCCATATGTATTGGATCATCTTCCCATAAATTTAGGGGGATGAGATGTCCTAGATCAATTAGGTTTGACATTAACAAATAACATCAAACAAAATGCACCCACTGTTATGACTAGACAAGGTTTTAGGAAAGGAAAAAGATTAGAAAAACAAGAACAAGGTATAGCAGCACCAATATAAATAGATCAAGGAACAGACAGACATGGGTTGGATTTTCAGAAGGGGCCACTGAGACAATAAAAATTACTTGGAAATCAGAAAGACCACTATGGGTTCCTCAGTGGCCCCTGACTAAAGAAAAGATATAAGTAGCCCATGACCTGGTCAAACAACAATTAGCAGAAGGACATATACAACCTTCTGTATCTCCCCATAATACTCCCATTTTTGTCATCAAAAAGAAATCTGGTAAATGGAGATTATTGCAAGATTTAAGAGCCAATCAGTTGGCAGTAGAAGTTTGCTGGGGCCGCTGTGAGCCAATCATCAGCTGGCAGCTGGAAGTTTGCTGGGGCCCCTTTGGCTGTGGCTCTCAACAATAAGCTGACTAAAACACCATCTCCTGTGATACTGAGTCTTCTGATCCATGAACTGGGATGTCTTTTTGGTAATATTTTAAAGAAATATCTTTAACCCATTTCAATCTGCATCATTTATGAACATAAAAATAAACAGAAATAAAACTAGGGGCAGACTACAGGAAGTAATGAGTAGTTATACTGTGGCCCACTATTTCTTGAGTGTAATCTCTCATCATTTAGCAGGAGCTACAGAACTGTTCATGCTCTATGATTTTTTTATTGGTACATTATAATTATAATTAATGAGGGTGGGATCCATTGCACCATATTCATACATGCACATAATACAATTTAATTAATCTCATTCCCTTTCCCTTCCTGCCTCCCTCCCCTGATTCGCTTGATCTACTCTGTTGATCATACTCTTTGATTCTAATAATGATATCTCTGGAGCTATAATCCAAGGGAACTCAAGGGAAAAAATGAAAACTGTGCAGAGATACGTATGGCATCACTTACTATCACAATGAAATATGGGGGGAAACAAAAATCAAATATCCCAACAGTAATTTCCTAGGAAGAGGAAAATATCAGAATTAGCACAACAGCAATCTAAACAGTCTGTCTGCATAACAGTTATTTATAAAAACTGTGAATTTATATAAATATTAGCTTTCTAAACAAATGCATAGTCTTGTATGTATATTAAAGGCCACAAAATAATATGAAAATAAAGAGCTTAAATTAAAACAAAACTTAATCACTACAGGGCTTTTTTTAGGAAGTTGCTTAGCATCTTAAACTATTATTTATGTGTTTGGGGATGGGACAATCTCCTTGTCACCTGTAGCATGCAGGACATGCTGTGATAACCCACCCACATGCAATTCAGCACTAATGTTGCTGAGCAGCAAAATGGGTTTAGCAACATTGCTCTCAAGGACACCAAGCAATGGCTTAAGTCTCCGACCCTTACGGGTAGGACAATCATTGATGTAGGCAAAGGAAGCTCATCCGTTTAGGCACACTTAGTAAGCTTAGGGATATAAATCAACATTAGCCGTCTACTTGCTTTTCAAACCCACAGCCTGTAAAGATAGGGTTAAAAGAAAGGCAAGTGCATTCTACTTATTAGCATATGTGAGTGAACAGCCATTAAATCACACGATATGGATCTATCTCACTGGAAAGTGAAGACAAACACATCCTCCATCTCCCCTACACTAGATTAAATCAATCTCTCATTTTTTTTTTTTCTGTATGTCTAAGAATAAATGGCAACCCTATTTTTTGGTGCGTCAAGTAATTAAGAGAACCACACAGGATGGAGGAAGAGGAGGAGACTACAATTAACAGAACTTCAGGGAATTATTTCTCTTCCCGCGGTAGCCTTTTYCCTGATTCTATAAATAACAACATTACATCATGCTGACGAGGCATGCTGTTCAAACACAAGAGCCAGGGTTGCCCTTCAACAGAGCAAAGAAACGCTGCTACCAGAAGGCACAAGGAGAGAGGCTAGGCCCTCTGCATGTGGCCCTACTGCACTGGCCCTTACTCCCCATGTCCCCTGCAGCCTCCCTTATCTGATGAATGAATCACCACAGAAATCGAGAGCYACTTTTCCATCCATCCCTGCCATATCATGAATGGATATGCTACAGAGCAACACAGACTCCCACTTATTTTAGAGGCACCAAAAATAAATGTAATTTTATCTTAATAAAAATACAGAATGAAAGCTCTACAGCCAGCTTTTAAAAAGTCCCAGTTTTAAAAGGTCTCCCAGTTGATAACCTCTAACATAATGGGTGGGACAGAAGGTGCAAAGACAGTGTGCGGGCACACTGGGTTGGATTCTCAACACCACATAAAAATAAACAGAATAAAGGCATGCTGTCCACTTACAACTACAAAATAAATAAATAAATAAATAAATAAATAAATAAATAAATAAATAAAATTTAAATTTAAAAAAGAGTGCTCAAAATGTTTGCATAATAGCAACTTCATTAGACTATATTCATTAACTTTACAAGGACTTTCATTCATGCAAATATTTGAGCATTTTTTACAGATAGACTAATATTAAAAATTAGTTACATCACTAAGTTGCCACACCATAAAAAATATATATGAGAGTATAAATACACATAGAACCAAATATATATACATATTTGCTTAAATGCTTAGTATGACTAACAATGGTCACAC